GGCGACCAGTGCCACGTGAGACGTCAGCGACGGCAGAAGTACAAAAAGCGGCATGGCCACACACGTTCTCGGCTGCCCTTAGGTTGGCCGAGTCCCGCTACAGGCGGATTCTGGGCGATATATGAAGAGATACATACCCCTAAAAATACCCAAAAATGATCAGACATAGTCACAGAATCGTCCCCGTACGATGTTCGGCCTATTTTGGGGATGCTCCTCCTGCAGAGGGTCGGGCCCGCCTCGAGGCTGCCCTCGCGGAAACTCGATCCGCCGACCGGGGACCGAAGCGGCGCCGCTCGAGGATGTCGGGGGTCGGGCTGTCCAGGGGGGACGAAGAGCGAGGATCGACGGGCCGCCGACCGAGGAGCGAGGGTCGGGATCGAGGGGAACGTCTTCTGGCCATCGCTCGGACGTCCATTCCCTGTTTGTTTCGGTTTCGTGCGTGGTTTTTTCGCCAAATGATCAAGGATGCTCCTCGATGGTCCTCGCCGAAGGAAAAATGCACACGTCCGAGCGATGCCAAAACGAAGAGCGAGGATCGACGAGCCGCCGACCGAGGCTCGAGGGCCGGGATCGAGGGGAACGTCTCTCCGCGGTGGACACACCTCCCTCTGGGTAAGCCTCACCTCAGCAAAAACGGCCCAGGACCGAAGCCGGCGGACCTGGACCCGCAACACACGACGGCCGAAGACGCCCTCTCGCGAACCGAAAACGGCCGATTCCTGAATCGACGTGTCGGGGTAGGAGGTCTATCCACCTCCGAGTCTTGCGGGGCTGGACGGGGGTCCCAGGGGGACGAAGAGAAAGGATCGAGGATCCGCCGCTCGAGGATCGAGGGTCGGGGGTCCAAGGGGGACGAAGAGCGAGGATCGAAGAGCCCCCGATCGAGGATCGAGGGGAACGTCTTGCAGGGCTGGGCCGAAGCGCTGTTGTGCTGGACTTCGGCCCAGGTTTTGTTTCTCGTGTCTGCAGGGAGGCACAGGACAACAGGCAGAGCAAAACGAGGCACATCACGAAAACAAAACGAAAGACAGCGTTTAGGCCCAGCCCCGACGTCTTGGATCGGCGCTGGAGAGCCCCCCTCCCCTGTCGCGAACGGAGCGCACCCAGGGGCGGCGAGAAGGCGGCGCCAAGCGAGGGGGGCAAAACCCGCGCGGGGGGCCGAGAACTCACATCCCGCCATCGCTCGGGCTTCGGTTCCCCGTGCTTTTGCTTCGGGTTCGTGCATGCTTCTACTTTACGGGGAAGGAACAATGACATGAACAGAATCACTCGGAGGTCCGCGCGGATTTCTCGGATCCGCGCTGGGACCCCCTGGCGGCGCCTCCGGCGCCGCCCCTGGCGCGCTCCGCGCGCCAGGGAGAGGGTCCAGCGCCGATCCGAGGAATCCGCGCGGACCTCCGAGTTCTCATGTGTATGTCATTCGTCGTTCCCCTTTATCTACTGCCTGGTGATCCAAGATGCTCCTCGATGGTCCGCGCCGACAAAACATGCACACCCCCAGGCGATGCCAAGTCATCCGGAAGAGGACAGCCACACAGGTTCCCCAGGCTCCCCGCTCCCGCCCCCGCCTACGAAGGGAGGACAACAGGACAGAGCACGAAGGGGGGAGGCAGGAGAAACGAGGTGTACCTGTGATGCAGATAGGTTCCTGTGCATGTTGGACCAGAAAACAAAAGACACCACCGCACCTACGGCCCCACGGGCCTCAGCATACACCATGAATTCCTCGGCTTGGGCTTTGGCGTGGTATGCGCTACGGCGCCCGATGGGCCGCAGAGCAGCAGGGAGGGGCGGTGGTGGGCTGGTGTCGTTTGCTTTTTGTCGATGTGTCAATGTGCTCATGTCGTTTGCTGCCCTTCGGGATTGGAGCAAGCCGTAACACACGATGCTGTCGCGGACGGAAAGCATGCCGTGCGTCGGGCACGGCCCGTCCAGGCTCGCGGGGCTGAGAGGGCCTCGGCACCCACGCTGCAAGACGGCTTTGCCGCTGAGGGCTTGGGCCAGAAGGGGGAGGCCCAGGGCAGAGGAGGGCAACGGGGATGGGCGGGGTGGAAGCGGCGGCGGCACGGGAAGCTCCGCGGCCGGGAGAGCACGAGGAGAAGGGCAAGGAGGAGCGGAAGCAGGAAGAGGAGCATGAGCGTGAGAGGGACGAGAGGGGGGAGGAGGGGGGAAAGAACGGATGAGGAGACCGAGGCGAGGTAGAGGGAGAAATAAGGAGGAGAAGCAGACAAGAAGAAAGGGGAAGGAGAAGGAAGAGGACGAGGATGACGGGGGGAACGACCGCTGCGCACAACGCGCGGCGAAAGCGAACGAGGCGAAGACGAGGAGGACTAATTAGGAGGATGAGGAGGAGGGAGAAGAAAAAGCACGAGGGCGGGGAAGACGAGGGAGAAAAGGACGCGGAGAATAGTCATAACGAAACGGATAACAAAAACGATGCGGAGGAGTCCAGGGAATGGAGGTATTGCAAGCGGTACCACAGAAGAAGGGACGAGGGAGAGGAGATGATTAGGAGCAAAAGGAAAAAGGGAGGGTCGGGGGAGGATGAAGAAGCAGGAGAAGATGAGGAAGATGAGGAGGACGACGAGGACCATGAAGATTTGGAGTCCCGAAACGGTGCGGTGACAGACCATGCGGTGACCTCGAAATCCCAAGACCTCACCGCACGTTCCGTCAACGCACGGTCTTGGGACCTCGGATGCCCCAGTCGCCCGAGCCGTCCTCGGAGAACGACCCGAGTCCCAAAACCGTGAGGTGACCCCGAATCCCCACCGACTCACCACACAGTGTGGTCACCACCCCGTTTGGGGGCCCCCCAGATGAGGAGGAGAAGAGGGATAAGCCGGAGCAGGAGGTAGAGGCTGGACGAGGAATAGGCTCCAAACAGAAAAAAGACTGCGGGACCAACATCTGCCACCATTCCTCTGGGGCCGTGCTAGAATGTTCGTTAGTCGCTGGTAGATTTCAACGCGCGCAGACCCACTGCCTGGAGACGGGACGACCCGATGGCCTCCTGGAAGCCTCTTGGGAGCCTCTAGGGGCTGTCTTGGGGCCATCTTGAAAGTCCAGGGCGGTCTGGAGGCCATCCCGGGCCGTCTTGCAAGGCTCGAGGGCCGTCTCGAAGCCGTCGTCGACCGTCTCGGAGCCATCTGGAAGGGTCTTGACGACCCCAGCCGACCGTCTCGGATTTCTCTGGTGCTCGTCGAGGGCCATCATCGGACCATCCTGAGGCCTTAGAGGTCCGTCTCGATGCCATCTCCGGCCGCCTCGGAGCCATCTTGAAGGATCGTGGGGGGCACCAGTCCAGAGCGAAACGGCCACATCTTAAAAAAACACTGGTGGTTTCCCCAGGGCTTTCCAAGGCTCTTGGACTCCTGGGGGCCTCCTGGAAGTCTCCTGAGAGCCTCTTTGGGGCCTCTTGGGGCCCTCTTTGGGCCCTCTTGAACTGCCTGGGGCGGTCTGGAGGCCTTGGGCCGTCCTGGCGCCCTCCGGGGCCCTCTGCGGGCATTGTGGGGGGGTATTCGTGGGCCCATCTTGGAAGACCCCACCGGGGCCTCAGTCATGCCACAGGTATTCCAGGCACCTGCGCCAATCTGCATGCATGTGTACAGAGTGCACGGAACGCGATCCATCTGTCGATATATCTGTCTATCGATCGACCGATACCACTATCAATACATCGATCGCACTGTGTCTAGATCGATCCCGCTGTCCATCCACTCGTCGATGTGCCTGTATATCAGCCCCTTTGCCGATCTACCGGTATCAAACAATTTAATCAATAGGGTATCGGAGCAACACCCAGGACAACCTCTATTGGTGTTTTTATGGATCATATGGCGATCGATCTCGCTATATATCGCGCCCGCGGAGCAGGAGGCGCGCGGGGGCGCGGGGGGCGCAGCGCTCTGGGGCGCCGCGGCGGATCGCGTCGCTTCGAGCCCCAGGGGGCGATGATGGGGGCGAATAGCCCAGGGGCGGGCACTACCCATCGGTCGGAAGACGTAGGCAGAAGCATAAAGCAGGAAGGCGCTGAAAATAGGGTGGGTTCCGTCCGCCCCCGGAGGAGGATGGAAGAGGCGAAGCCGCTCGATCATGGAAGTAGGCAGGCGCTGAAAGCAGATTGGACTCTGGGAGCCCCAGCACACCTACTTTCAACGACCGACGGGCACCTGTATCCAGAGTCGCCCCCGGTCCGTGTCTTCGGCGAGGCCCCCAGGCGAGCACAGGTAGTGCCAGCCCCTCGTCGCCTCCGAGAGCCTGGCACCGCGCGTCGGGCGCCTACTGGCCCGGGTCAGTCCGCACCCGGGTCAGTCGGGCTCTGCAGGAACCTGCAATGCCCTGCAGGAACCAGCAGGCTCCTGCCACGCAAGGCCTGGGTCCATGCGCCCCTGGCCTTGCAGGATCCTGCAAGATCCGGAGCTCTGGCCGACCCCCGTTTGCACTGGCCCCCATCTCGAGGATCCCGAGCGCGCGGGGTCGGAGGCGCCCTAACGTTATGTTGTTCCCATCCTACTCAAGGACCATATCCCAGAAATAATTTCGAGCACCTAGAAAAGTATCAGAAGGGTGTCGAAATAGTGTCGAAACAGTGTCGGGCGAGTGTCTCCCAGGGCCCGACACGTGACAACCTTGAGTTTAGGGGTACTTTTTCTGGCGCTCGAAATTCTCCCTGGTGATCAAGCGAAGGTCATAACCCTAGCGAAGGTCAGGGGCGGACCGATCTCCTTCGGAGGCCCGCATCGGTGGAGGCCACGCTCCACTCGGAGCGACGCTGGCCGACGCTCCTCGACACCAGTCGACGCTAAATCGACGCTCAACGAGGCGAGTTGACGCTAGGCGACGCTAAGTCGACGCTCATCGACGCCAGATCGGCGCTCCCTTCGATTGACAGACGCTGGCGCACTCCAGAGACGGGATGTCGAGGACACGCAGGCCTCCCATGACTTGCTACCGAAGCGTCGGACGCGGCGGCTGCGGCTCGTTCCCATCGAGGCTCAGCTCCAGTCCGCCTTGGAGCGGGACGCAACGCTCGGGGGCGCCGCGGAGGAGTGCGTCTCTGCGGGTTTGGCATCGCGCGCGGGATCGACAGGAGAGGCTCGATTGATGGGGCGAAAGGATCGCGCCGCATCGCCGATGTGTCGGCGATGCATCGCAATGTCGGCGATGCATCGGCGACGTCGGTGTAGAGAACATTGCGCTCCACATTCACCGGCGATGCGGCCCGACTCTCGGACCCCATCTACTCCGACCCCATCTGGGAGGCCTAGATCATCCCACTTCCCCACTCCTCCCTCCTTCGGCTACACGTAAAAATGACCCTAGGCAAGAGTGGCCTTTGGTGTGCGACTTTACGGGGGACGCGGGGGGGCCAAACCCAGGCGCGCAGGCCGCTGCTACCGCCTGGCGCCCAACGATCGGGAGACCCCATTGGGACCGCACCAAAGGTCACTCCGGCGAAAGGTTACTCTTTCGTCTAGAAAGCTCCTCCCCGGGGCCGCCAGGATGTCGGTCTCGCCCGCCCGGAGCCTGCAGGAGTTCGTCGCGGCGGGGACCGGCCCCACCTCGAGCCCGCGGGGGAGGAGGGGTCTGGGGGAGGGGGAGGGCGGGAGGAGGAACAACAAAAAACAGACAAAGAAACGGGGGGACAGATGAGGATGGGGAGAAGGACGGGGGGGGGGACTAGGAGGAGGAGGAGGAGGAGAAGGAGACGGAAGGACAAGGGGGAGGAGGGCGCAAGGAGGGGGGGGCCGGAGGCTCGGAGGGAGGACGAGGCCCATCTCGTGCCCGCTGGGGGAAGGAGGGGTGGGGGGGTCGGAGGGAGAGGGCGGGCGGGAGGAGGGGGAGGACGGGGGGAGGAGGTACCCTGAGATCCTGGCGCTGCAAATGTTGTTGTGCTGTACATTTCCGCTTGATTTCGGGCCCAGGGAGCGATGCTGCATTTTTGCAACGTCGAATCTCAGGGTAGGGGAGAGACGGACGGGGAGGAAAGGACGGGGGGAGGAGGGCGGAAGGAGGGAGGTCGGAGGGAGGGCGGGAGGTGGAAGGGGGGGGGACGGGGGGATGGGGGAGGAGGGAAGGAAGGTGACGGGGCACCGAGGCAGGGTGCTCCAAGACGGCCCCAAGAGATACAAAGGAAGCCCCAAGAGGCCCCCAATTACAAAGGAGGCCCCAAGAGGCCCCCAACATGCCCCCAAGAGGCTCCCAAAACGCCTCAAGGGGCCCCCAGGACTGCCAAAATACCCCCAAGACGCCCCAACAGGACTCCAAACAGTTCTCGACGGAAATCCGAAAAGTCTCCGAGAGGCATCCAAGAGGCCTCCGGCCTTTCTGCTCGCCCTCCTCCTCCTCCTCCTCCTCATCCGCCTGTTCCTCCTCCCTCCTGTTCCCTCCTCCCCCTCTCGTTTCGCCAGTTTCACCAAATTCACAGGATCCGCAGTGCCAGAGGCGGCGCAGAGCCTGGGCAAAGAGAAAGAAAAACGGAAGGGCAACGAAACAAGACACGCGCGCTGCAGCCCCCCCGCCCAAGCCTCCACCGAAGGGGCCCGAAGCCCTCTTTCGGTGGGAGCCCAAGCGGGGGAGCCAGCGCCCTGCCGAGGCTTCCGCGAGGCCACTCGCCTGACGCGCAGCCACGTCAGCTCCAGCAGGCGCGGGGGCACAGCCCAGCGCTGCCCCTCGCCCTGCCCAGAGGAGAGCGCTGCGTCCGGAACTCCGACGAGTCGTGGGATCCACGCCCTGCCGAGGCATTTCCAAAGACTTCGCAGTCGCCCCATTCCGAGGCCAATCCCTGCCTCCACATCCCTGGTCAGGGCAGCTCGTCGGGGCGTCCTTTCGGGATGGGCTGACGGGGCTACTTTTTCTGGTCAACGGCCTCGCGAAGCGGGTCAAAAGGCGTCCAAACTCTAGCCGGGCCACGACCAGGCAGCGGAAAGCGGAAAAGCAAAACAGGCGCAACTAACGGGCGGCAGCTTAGAAAAGCAAGCAGAGACCCATTCCTGGTGGCGTCCGAAAATCCCGGTGGCCTGGTGGGGCTACTTTCTGGTCGCAGCCACCAGCGAGCACGCAAGCGGCGAGAGGAGTTGTCCGGGCCGGCGGGCAAACCTAAATAGCTACTGAGCGCAGCACGAGCCGGCCGGGCCAGCTCACAAACGCGGCAGCTGGGGCAGCGGTTGCGGGGGGCTGGCTGGCTGAACTGGAACGCCCAGGGAAGCTCGAGCAACGTGCAGCCCTGCGGCAAAATGCCAGGGAATTCTGTGTTACGCCTGGTGGGGCTACGCGAAGCGTCTAGAATGTCTTCAAGGTCGGAGGGCCGAATGGAGGGCGAAGGGGGAGGCGGGGGAGGGTAGAGGAGCAATAAACAACTGCGTAAACATAATTTCTCAAAGGTCCACGAGGACTTCTTGGATGGGCGCTGGACCCCCCGGGCGGCACCGCAGGCACCGTCAGGGGGGGGTACAACGCCGACCCAAGAATCCACGCGGACCTCCTAGAAAGTATGTTCATTTAGGGGCTTCGACGGAAGGGAGATGGGCGAATGCCACAGCGGCGGATACGTCTGGGGAGCAGCTCCACACGACCCCCACGGGCCTCCAACCGCCCGGTCACTGGACGGCGGCTCCAAGGCAGGCCCGTTCGCCCCCGGGGGCAAACTCGCTCGCTCCCATTCGCAGCCTCGGGCCTCCGGAGGCCCCCCCGAGCCTCTCCGGAGCTCTGCAGCCTCCGAGTACACCTCCAGAGAACATCCGAAAACCCTTCTCGGGCCCACGCCACGGGCACCCTCCTGGACATCTGTGGGCATCGCGCTGCAACAAGGAGCGCTGAAAAAGCAGCCACGGGGCGTATCTGGCCAGGGCGAGCCTTGGCCACAAACAACAAATCCGACCTGGATCCAATGAGGCGGCCCGAAAACCGGAGCCCCTTTCGAGCCCAGAGTGGTCCTCTCGAGAGCCGCCTTGGCTGTACCTCCTCCTCCCCCGTCGTTCTACTCCTTCCCCGAACTCGCCCCCACGGTCCCCGCCCCCAGCTCCCCGACCTGTCCTGCACGCGCGTGGTGCTGACAATCCGATGCCGACGCGAACTCAGCCTGGGACGCGGCGGGGCACCCACGCCGCCCCCAGAAGGACACACCACCACACCACAAAGCCAAGCATCCAGAGGGACGCGTGGGCAGAAGAGCGTGCGATTGGCGACTCTTCAAGACAACTGGCGACTCTTCAACAGAAGTTGACGTCAAACCGAAAACTGTTCCCTGAAAGGGGGCGACCTGTGATCGGGAGACCTCTGGAGGAACTGAAGGGGCCCTGGGACACACAAGTGAATAGACACAAAATAACAGGATTCCCCACATTCCCATATCTTCTGGCGTTTCGCCTTCCCCCCCCCACACTTCCCATATGTTCCCATAGTTTCTGGGAATCGGCGATTAATTGTGTCTGTGTCTTTTTTCCCCTCCTGAGGAACTGTGGGATCTGCCGGCGCGGCTCTGGGGGCTGCAGCTGGCGCCGCGGCCGTTCCGGAGCACTTCGTTTAACGCTCCGGGGCCGTTCCAGCACGCTCTGGTGCGCTGCGTCCCGAGCTTAGGCCCGGGAGAGCCCAGAGTCGAATGGATAAGCAAAATTGGTGATCGAAATGAATCGAATCGGCTGAAATCGGCAACCAAATCGGGAGGAGTCGAACCGGGGGAAACCGGCACGGTAACAAGGCCTCCTTCAGAAATCGGGGTCCAAATCGGACTCCGAAGTCGAACCGGATCGGAAACGTAATTCATGGAAATCGTATCGCATCGAATCGGAGGAGTCGAAACGAGCCCTGTCTGACTGAAACACGCTCTCCCTGCCTCCTATCGGCGGCGAGCGGCGAGGGGGGGAAGTGAAGAGTAGGCGGGACTCCTCCGAAACCCTCGCACCTGGTGAGACATGTTCTGTGCCGACGGGAAGGCTCAGAAGACTTCTCAGACGGCCCGGGGGTCTCTTCCGAGCCTCTTGAGAAGGCCCGCCCCGTCCCACAATCCCCCCCCCGCTCGCCGCCGATCCTCAGACCACCGGAGATCAATCAAGCTGCTCAAGGTGGCCACCCCCTGGCGCTCCCGACCCCTTGCCAGCTGCCTGCCTCCCACCGTGTTTTGCCGACGGCCCAGCCCAGAGACGGCACTCAAACAACGGGCGTTCGCAACACCACCTCTGGCATGACTTGTTCGAGCCGCTAGTGGCACGGGACCTCAATTTTCTTATCATTATAAATAATTTATCCCTGTCGCACCCCGGGGCCAGTTTTTAGCATAGAGGGGGCCAAAATAACCTGGGGGTTGATTTGGCCCCTTCCCAATGCATTTATTGCTACGAACACATCTTTACATTATACAGAAAACCACAACAGCGAAAGGATTGAACATATATAGTGGCGCAACAGAAATCCGTTTCTTTTCTGCTGCAAAAAGATTCCTTTTGTATATTGCAGCAAAAGGAATTATTTTATACGGCGGCATAGAACATATTCTGTTTAATCATACATGCAGAACAGCATCAAAAAAACATGTGTTTTCACAGCTGTTTAAAATAATTCTATAAGTTTTTTTATTGTTTTCCTCTGTGTTTTCTCGAGGGGGAGGCTTTACAACGTGTAAGAGCAACTTCATCCCAATTCCAACCAAAACCCAACCGAGACCCAACCAGAATGCGGGCAAAACATGTGTATTTTGAGCACCACTTACACGGGTTTGGGCCGCATTTCCAACCAGAACCAACCACGAATCAACCACGGCCATTCGGCTGGTTGGCGGCTGGTTGGCGGCTGGTTGGCTGCCAACCAGCCAACCAGCCAACCAGCCAGCCAGCCAACCAGCCGTGATCGTGGTTTGGTCATCGTCGTCGTCGTCGTCGTTGTCGTCGTCGTCGTCGTCGTCGTCGTCGTCGTCGTTGTCGTCGTCGTCGGCGTCGGCGTCGTCGCAGTCGTCGTCGTCGTCGTCGCCGCCGCCGCCGCCAGCCGCAGCCGGACAGCCAGCCAGCCAGCCAAAAGTCAACCAGACGTCAACCAGAGGTCAACCAGCCAACCAGCCAGGCAGCCAGCCAGGCTGCCGGACGGCCAGCCAGCCAGCCAGACAGCCAGCCAGCCAGCCAGAAGTCAACCAGAAGCCAGCCAGCCAGCCAGCCGTCGTCGTCGTCGTCGTCGTCGTCGTCGTCGTCGTCGTCGTCGTCGTCGCCGCCGCCGCCAGCCGGCCAGCTGGACAGCCAGCCAGCCAGCCAAAAGTCAACCAGAGGTCATCCAGGGCCCCGCCAGCCAGCCAGCCAGCCGCCAGCCAGCCAGCCAGCCAGCCAGCCAGCCAGCCAGCCAGCCAGCCAGCAAGCCTGCCAGCCAGCAAGCCTGCCAGCAAGCCTGCCAGCCAGCAGGCCTGCCAGCCAATCAGCCAGCCAGCCAGCAAGCCTGCCAGCCAGCCAGCCAGCCAGCAAGCCAGCCAGCCAGCCAGCAAGCCTGCCAGCCAGCCAGCCAGCCAGCAAGCCAGCCGTCTGGCTGCCGGCCAGCCAGGCAGCCAGACGGCCAGCCAGCCAGCCAGACAGCCAGCCAGCCA